ATATATATATATATATATATATATTATAATAAAGCTCTACTTTTATATATATATAGCTTTATATAATATATATATATATATATATATATATATATATATATATTTAACAAAGACATTCTCCATACAGAATTTTTATATATATATATATATATATATATATATATAGATAAAGCTCTTTATTATAATAATATATATAGCTTTTATATATATATATATATATATATATATATATATATATATATATATATCTTTATATAATAAAGCTCTATTGTATACACTGTCTTCTTAAAAATAAAAGAGAAGGAATCATATTTTAAAAAAAAAATATATATATATATATATATATATATATATATATATATATATATATATATATATATATATATATATATATATATATATGTGCGTGTACGCATGTGTGCGTCTTTGTGTATGTACATTAGTCATATCAAGGGCACAAATTCCAAAATCATCCTAAAGATGCAAATAATAAATAAATTTATTTCATTTAATTATTTATTATATATATATATATATATATCTATGGATATTATAACCCCATCCGATAAAGGAGGCGAAATAGTCATCATAAAGCGGGCCACCTAGTGAGGATCGAACTCACATTTCTGTAATTAATCTAGTGAGACAAACTTGCTGTCATTACACCAAGTAAAGTTTCCTAAATAGTGAATGGAATTCATATTTTATATATAAATATAAAAATATATATATATATATATATATATATATATAAACAAAATATGAACAAATCAAATATAAAATCAAACGTTTACAACATTAATTTAAAAACAGGGCTCATAGAATAGTCGCATTCTTCATCAGGGATGGTTTTTTTTTCTACTACCTGATGAGATGCGATGATATGCATCGAAACATGAATGCATTTTGTAGCGGTTTTACATGTGTTCGAATGTAATATCCTATAATAAAGTAAAGAAATATAGTTTTAAGGTGTGGTATATTTATGGGATAAAGTGCTCAATATCAGAGATAGAGTGTATATAAGTATAAAATTGAATATATATATATATATATATATATATATATATATATATATACCACAGGTAGGCTTTTAATAAACAATATGGGCATTGAATGTATGAGCAGATCGACGGTTACCGACGCTATAAATAGGATGGGCGAGCCGAGTTCAAATACCCGCCTGACCTGTTGCATTCATTATCGCAGAAATTAATCCATCATCTCTTTTCTCCAGCTATGACCTAAATAGTCGGATAGACAGAGCCCTTTCACGACTACTCTGAATTTAAAACCGTGGAGAAGACAACTGGAAACCATTCCATTGTCTTTCTCAAGAAGACATGGCAACTCACAGATAATGTAAATAAATGGCCTTACCGCTAATTCACCCTTGCTCCGTTTATCTTTTGTCATTTCTATCTGTCATAAAGAAACCAAATATTTTTCTAGCCGTAGAGAAAAAGAATTGAGGATTAAACAGTGGATCATGTAAGTTTTAAAATTCGGTCTGTAGGTCGGACATTGAAAACGACAGCGTAAAAAGTGCATGAGAACAAATATTAATTGATAGATATGATTATTTTTACGGTCTATCAACCCTTTGTGAGTTGCTTTAGCCAAAATAATACAATAATTATTATTTTGCAAGTTAATATTGCATTAACAAGTGTATTTGCGCGTAAGAGAATGTAACGAACCCGACTGGAATTCGAACTCGGCTCTTCTTACACCACCCGCACATCCTGAATAAGCATTAAAGACAATCGTCATTAACAAGGTTCCGTTCATAAGCTATGCTGTTTTGTCCTTTAGGTTTTTTTTTTTTTTTGGTTTTTTTTTAAGGTGGTGAGTCAATATTATGCTTTTGTAGCACCCCGACGCCCAGTTGCATACTTCCATAATCACCCTGGAGTAACTGAGTGAATTTGGATATATCGTGGAAATCGGGAAAAAAAATAAATGTTTACGTGACAGCACTTGATCGTTTTTGACATCAAATCACCACGGATTTATATGGTGTTTACTGTTTATTAATTATTAGTGGTTCGTGAATTTGAATAAATTAAATTATAAACTAAATACAATTATGTTGATTTGATGTTGACAGTTTTTTTAACGTCATAATGCAAATTTTAATGCGCGGGAAGTGAATAATGTAATGAATGTTTTTTTTTGTGAGTGTGGGGGTGAAAAAGTAAAACTGCTGAATACTATATGGGTGAGCTATTGTTTACTGGCTCAGCTTCTCGGGTTTATAAATAAAGAAACTGATGCTGTTGCACTTTTCGACTTTTTCCTCACTATCTATTGTAATTTGTATGTTGTTATATTTGCTGTATACGTAAAACTAGAAAATTATTTTTCGGTTCGACTTTTTAAATGTACATGCCTAAAAAAAAAACAAACAAAAAAAACAACAGTAAGACAAAAATACGTAAAAGAACTTAAAGGTTGGACAAATAACTCAAGCAATATAGAAAATAGAAAATCCACTTACTTTAAAAAATGTATTTTGCTGGGGACGTCGCCCTGATGTGCAATTCGTAAAAATGCAACCGAAAGCCCGGCTTTACTCTCTAAATAAAAACACGAACCTACAACATTTGTGAGAGACCGATAAAAAAAAAGCAAGAAAAAAAAAACCAAGTAAATATCAGAAACTGTTGTAAAGATGTAAACGTGGGATATGTTGTAGTAGTAGTACTAATAGCATTGATAATAGAAAAAAAAAGTTTCACTGAGACCGCAGTAGAGAGTTGTTCTTAGATATGACTTCGTTTTTGGTTGGGTATTTATTTATTTATTCTTTAGTTTATTTATTCTTTGTTTAAAGTTATTTATTTATTGTGATATCAAAGATGGTCTGAAAGGACAGTGGCAATAATATGGTCTGGGAGGAAAGCAAGAATCCTCTCCCCAGACCCAGACCCTGTGAATTCTTATCCGTAGTTTGTACAGAAGAGAAAGAAAAAGAAAAAGAAAAAGAAAAAGAGGAAACAAACTATTGATTTATTTTTCTTTTGATTGCCACCTGTTTTCGATATCTTTTTTCTTGTTTTGTTTATTTTGGGTCTTTTCCTCTTCTCTCTCTCTCTATATATATACAAACCCTTAACTTTTCCCTTTTTACACTTGCCTTTCATTTTTTCTTTCTTTGAAAGTTGTTTTTGTTTTTTCTTGTAGATTCCTTAGTCTTTTTTATTCCGTTTTTTTTTTCCTTTATTTATTTTCTTTCTTTATCTCTTTATTGTTCCCTCTCTCTTTTCACGTTCGTAAAAAGAAAGAAAAAAAAGACAATTCGTTCGACTGTTGTTGCTTTCTTTCTACCTCGTTCTTTTTTTCTTTTCAATTACTTTTTTCGTTCCAACTTTTCTTCTTTTTTTCCACATACTCAATTGTTCCGTTATTTTTCATTTTCTCTTTGAATTCTTTTCCTTTTCCAATTTATTGCTCTCTTCTTTATATTTTTTTTTATTCTTTTAAGTTACTCTCTTCGTTCAGCTATTTTCTTTCTCTTACGGCTGTAAATTTCTACAGACGATATATAGAACGGTACACCGAATTGACGTTTGCTACTTTAAGAAAAAATAAAAGAACAAGTGGCATTTGAAAATTTAATGTCAGAATTTAATTTGAGAACCACTACGAGAATGATTTACAAGTTCACCTTCTAGCCTCTTTTCTGATCTTTGCCCTGACATACACCATGCTTCCAAAACCGGCTCCCAAAGCCTTGATTCTTATAAGAATATATTTATCTGACAAACGAGAGAGCTGTAAAATATAAAAAGGAATTTGACCACCCCTGCCTTGACCATGTTGCCATAAACTCAGCGGGTAACTCTTACAGCTTGTCGGACCCTTGCATCCAAAACCAGCTCCCAAAGCTTTGATTCTTCTCAAAGATAAGAATATATTTATTAAGGAATGAGAGGGCAGTGAAAGTGTATAATCAATTTTGGAGGGAATAGTTCTCGATATTTCTGAGCTTTTTAACCTCGATAAATGCAAATAATATTTGACATCGTTGTATTGGGGTATATGTAGGAGTGAATGGTGACTGATGGATTCTTGTGGTGAGTGAATAAACTGTAATGTATGGATGGGTCGTGAATCTAATTAACTAGGTATAGAATGGTATGTGTTGACCAGCCTCAACTCCTTCCCCCCTTTTGGCTTTATGCCACAATTATTGTATCTTTGTAATAATAAATAACAAGTATTTGACATCATCTGTGATAACATCAGGTCGGCGACAGTAACAATAGTCATCTTCGGAATCTGTTTCCAGGAAAAAAAATCTACAGACTGTGTCTAAAGACAGAACGTCGGCCCTCTGCTAAAAAAAACTACTCGCGATTTGCTTGCTAGGACCTAGAAATTCCTGTCGTCGGCATCAACTACGAACTCACTCAACTATAAACTACAGATTTTCCGATTATTTCCCTTTCAAAAAGAACTCTGAAGAAATCTTATGTCAGTGTTAACCCCTTAGAACAATTTACTTAATTAAAGAACTTTTAGACGCTCAGAGAAATATTTTAAGCAAGCCTTTATATGAGCACTTTTTCTTCCTTTAAGTTAAAGGAATTTTCTACTCCCTTTCTTTCTCTCATATTTTGCATATCTATCCCTTTACCTTTTTTTCGTGTATGTAAATAAACATTTTCTTGTATTGTTACACGCCAAGCAGGAGTTTAAGTCTTTATTCTTCTGCCTAAAAGAGAGAATTGTCCGCTCTAAACTTTCGTTGTTGCTTTTAACTATTCTGTTAAATTTAACCATAACCTTTTCATGTGGGAAAGCCGAAACAAATCTCCCACATTAAAGCTGTTCTTTCAAAAAGCCAGTAGTAAAAATATTCGACCCTAGAAAGGAAATAGTAGTAACAACTGACGCAAGTGAACACTCAATTTCGGGAATATTAACTCAAGATGGTCACCCTATCTTTCGAGAAAATTGTCAAAAGCCGAAGTTAATTATTCAAATATTGAGAAAAAAAGCGTTGACCACAATAGAGCTCGTCAATTTTTGATTGGAAAGAAATTTCTACTAAGGTCTGGCCATAGACCTTTAGAATTCATATTTAATGCTAGGAACGAACATCCTAAGGTAAAGTCTTCTAGAATTCTAAGATGAGTCTTAATGGCGTTCAACTTTGATATTGAGTACATGAAAGGCAATACCATTCCGCATGTAGACGCTTTGTTGAGATTGAGGTTCATTAGTGAGAAAGAGGAGGAAAAATTCGAAGATACTTTCTTACGCTGGGTCAAAACTGAAATTTGTCGATAGACAAATTAGCTGAGGACATCAAGTGAGATCCCATATTTAACAGTATATTGTTCAGGATAAAAAATAAGTGGAATAATTACTCACCGGCAGAAAGAGATTTAACACAAGTTACCCGTAGAGAAGGGTGTAATTGGTAATGGAAACGTAGTGGTTCCACCAGCAACGTAAAAGAGCAAAATTATAAAAAGCATACACGACGAGGTTCATTGCGGAATAACGTCTACGCAAAGGAGATTAAGGCTAGAGGCGTGGTAGCCAGGCTATTATACAGATGTAGAAGAATACATAAAAAGGTGTTAAATGTGCAATGAATTAAGAACATTTAAACAGGCAAAAACGATTACATGGTCTAAAGAGTCCCAACCTTGTGAAAGAGTACGCATGGATCATGCCTATGTTAATGGAGTGGGATTATTATAGATTCATATTCAGGCTGACCAGAAGTAATACAAGTCTCCAACAAAAGAAGTTCGACCGTGAAGCAAGCGTTAAGGATCATATTTTCACGAAAAGAAATTCCGAAAATGCTAGTAACTCACAACGTCCCAGAGTTCTGTGACAAGAAGCTATGCCATTGGTTGAACAAAATTGGATGAAAAACCATATAAAACCCCACCGTACCATCCGGAATCAAACTGATTAGCAGAAAGGATGGTGCAAACTAAAAAAAAAAAAACAAATTGAAAATATGTGTACAATGGAAAGAAAAAATAGAAACATTTCTTCCAAGATTGTTGCTAAGTTATAGGACAATACCATATACTGCAAGATCGAAAAGCCCATCCGCCATCATGCGTAGACAAATTAGAGTCCAATTGATCGTGTCTTAAGCCACCAACGAAAAACTGTGGCATTAAAGGAATAATGAAACTAATCTACAAGATTCATAATGCAAAGTGAACAGAACACTATGATAATAGAGAATAATGGAAATTGGATATTAGCGTATGAAGACCAAGTTAGATTGCAACACGATAGCGATGAAGAAATATATAGTGAGCATGAATTTAATGATGGCAAAAGTGTCATGTCAAAGCAAAACAGTGGAACTGAGAGAAGTATAGACTCCGAAGATGAACAAGGACAATCGTTAGAGGAACACGTCTATGAAAAAAGAAGGCTAAGATCTCCCATATTTAGGCAATCTCTTAGAAGGAGGAAGATAGAGAGGTGACTCATTTACATATGCCGCCACAAAGACAATAAATAGCTACAGCTATTACCCATGAAGCAGTTGAGTGCAAACTACTTCCTGTAAGTCAGTAACACTACACTACACTACACTACACTACACTACACTACACTACACTACACTTTTCCTTTAACCTACTTTTATTTTTTTTCCTTTTTGTCTTTGGTCTTCTTTATTCCTCAACTTTTTTTTCACATGTATTATTCCAGGATAAAAATAATGTCTCTTAAATATTTATTTTTCTTAAAACATACCTATTTCAAAGAAAAATTATTTTTCTAAACTATTTTGTCTCTTTGAAAATGAATAATATGTAAACGAAAAGAGATCCTTTCAACATAGTTAAAGAAATGCTAACAAAAATGTTTCTTTTTTTAATTTCATTCGGACTAGTTTATTCTTTTTTTTCTATCACAATTTTTTGTCCATAGTATTTTCCAGTCTTCAAAGATACCACAGAATATCGAACAATGCCCGAGGCTGCAGTGGCTTTAACGTTGTAATAAAAATAATTAAAAATGGGGAGTTAGAATTTAAACCAAATACAATGCTTATAAAACCTCGTCTTTTAAAACAAAAACCGGGCAAGAAATTTTATCTACTAAACAGCTATCATTCATTGAACCGATGTTCTTTCATCATTCAACTGTTATTTTCCCACGATAGGACTCGACCAGCAATGCTGGAAGATAGATTTTTAAGGCATGTTTGTACACGCACATACACACGTACACTGTCATATAGACAGATTAAAAGAGAGAGGAAAAAAAATGGGAGTGGGAAAAAGAAACAAGCAAAAAGAAAATGATCAAATATACAGAATGTTTATAAAATAATATGGACTATTTATTCACTTTTACTTAAGTTACACAATTCTGCTGTCTATTTGCTCATTGTAATAACGTTTATAATAATAATTAGAACATGAAGGTGACGGTCATGCTAGTTGTTATAGGAGTGCTGGAAGCAGGGCCGGCATGTACTACCCCCTAGAGGGGGAAGCAAGACTGACTGAAAGCCACGGGCATTGGTTTCTGACCCTTGCTATCTTACCTACATTCACCCGTTGCATTTTACTGG